AATTTTTTTTTTTTTTTTTTAAAAGGGGTGACATGGCACAGGACCCGTCAAACGGGATAAATTCCCGTGTCACGGTCAAATTTTTTTTTTTTTTTTTTTTTTTTAAAAAAAATAATTTTGAAACGTTGCTTGTTTATTTTTAAAAGGGAGGATACCATCCGACTTTAAAAAAAAGACATAAAAACAAGACTTTCCCTAAAATACGGTCAAAAAAGTGGTGCACGACTTAAAGCAAAAAGTGTGTAAACACGACATGTGAGTGATTAAGTGAGGTTATAGACGCGTGTTTTGACCGTATAACTAAACACGACTCAATACTGGACACAAAAATCGAGAAAAAGACTGACGGGACGCTTTCCTGGGCACCGTGTCACGGTGCAGACTGACGTGACACGGTTAAGCCTACCGTCAGACGGTAGCCTTTACCGTGTCACGGCACTGTTCCCCGTGACACGACAGAAAATGCCGTGACACGGTGCGCAGTTCCAGGTCAGTTTTGTGATTTTTTTTCAGATTTTAATCAATTTTAAATCCGTACTAATTACTATGTGAGAATAAAAACCCTCGGTCATGGGTCAAACAAAAAGAGAAAACACATTAGGGTTAGCACCGAACAAACACATAGCATTTAGGCACGATGATGTAAAAAAGTTCGCAACCTAAAGTCAAGATCTATGTTCAACTATTGGTCAAGCATTGGGTGTCAAAAGGGTACCATGGTTAAGAGTTTGGACGCGTTAGCAAGGCAGCCTCCCTTGAGGGTGTATGCCAACGGGCGGCTCCGCGAGTTCGTGATGAAATCGAACTCGACTCCATGGTTTGGGTGGATTTAAGCCATGACCGTTTTCAGGTTGATAGAGCTTAAATCCCCCGGGGCTAAGACGCATGTAGAACACATAAGTTTTTTCAGAAAAATCGAAGGAAGTCGACTGTGAGAAAAGAAAATAGGTCACCGGACTGATTTTAGGACTGTCGTGACACGGCAGAAATTCCCGTGTCACGGTACAGTGTACCGTCACACAGTACACTGTTCTGCCGTGACACGGCGGTCAGAAAATCTGATTGGTGCCCTGTTTGCTTTTGCGCGCAACCAAGTTATCCAATTTTTCCTACGGGACAGACCTGAAAGCGACGTTAAAACGTCTATGCCGATGCGAAAATGCCAAATTAATCACAGGAATATTTTTTCAAGAATCTTTCAAGTCTCATCCACTCATCTTAATTAAATACAGATCACTCAAATCAATAAATAATTAAGAATCCTCCCCAGTGGAGTCGCCAAATTGTAGGCGTCGTTTGAAGTGCGCCTACGTTAAAAGCATGTTGTGAATATGCTTGGCACTCATAGGAAGTGGGAATTGACATTACAATTAGGGACAAATAAAGTAGGGAGCCGCCAACAAGTTTTTAAGGAACTTGTAAACCATTCACGGATCATAAAAAGGCAACCACAATAAGAGACAACGATAGGCAACAACGATTGACCCGTGAAGGTTACACCCCATTCATAATCCATGAGATTATTCACTCCATATGGTTCGGAACCACGAAAGAAGGATCGGGGATGATGGTACGAAGTGAGTCATGGAGTCACATTCGCCCGTATTGGCCTCTACTCAATTCTTGTATTGAAAAGCATTCCTGTGATCTCAAAGGCATACAAACAATAATTCAATTCGCTCCAAACTATTATTTAACTAAATTGGTTTAAGATTAATGCACACATAATTCTAAAAATTTGGTGATCACTTCAATTAATAATAAGATTAAAAGGATCCTAAACCGGTTGGCCAAATTATCTTATTAGTCGTGATTTTCAATTACATATTCCCTTTAAACATGCAATATGGTGATCAAAATAAATAATAGAATCAATATAAATATAAAAACCAATTTAATCATAATTCCAAAATAATATGGCATGATCCTTACTTTGAATCTGTTTGTTTGCAACTACAAAATAATAAACGAGTTAGTAACTTCAAGGAAATAATAAAAACAATAATTAAATTAAATTAAATAAGGTTGATTTTGGGGGCCAAACCCTCAAACGATTCTACCTTTCACGCCTTGGCTTAAGGACAGAACCTCGAGTAAAATATGGACTCCTTTGAGTGCTTGAAGAAGGAATTTTGAAGTAAAAATGGTAGGCTAGGGTTTAGATTAATAGCATAGAAGAGAGAAAATAAGAATAATCGAATTCTGGTCGCCCCGTACATCAGAAGTGAGGGGGTATTTATAGGGAAATGTGCTGAGGGAGCACACAGAACCCTAAAATGATAAAAACCCTAAAAAAGTATCCCGTGACACGGTCAGACTGTACCGTGACACGGTTAGGCTGTACCGTCAGACGGTACACATTCCCGTGACACGGTCAGTTTTGGAGTGACGCGGGAAATTTTCAGAAAACGGAACGGAAAATGCGTTAAGGGTTTACGCGGAAAGGACACGGAACTTCCCGTGTCACGGCAGACCTCCCGTGTCACGGGAAGTCCCACCGTCAGACGGGAATGGTTCCCGTGACACGGTCAGGCTGTACCGTGACACGGTCTGTTCCAGTCCATTTTTCCGTCTAAATTCATTTTTAACCCTAATTTCTTTCGGCTTTTTAAGTGCCGATTGATAATTTCGGGCTTTTTTCTGACTTTTATTATTCGGGCTAAAATAAGAAAATAATAAAATAAAAAATAAATAAAATATTTGGGCCAAAAATAAATAACAAAATAATAAAATAAAAAGGTTTGGGCTTAAAATTAATCAACAAATTAAAACTATGCTTTTACCAAACACCAAGACTGATCCATAGACCTTTCAAAAATATGAGTTTAATAAAATACGATTTTTTAAGCACTCTCGGGATTAAATACTAAACCCGACCAATAGTGGCGGTGAAAGGTTATTTATCATTGAGTTTGGTTTTGGGGAGACATTTTTAGGTGTCTACAGTAGTCGACACACATTATTACCCTTCCATCTTTCTTTGGAATTGGAACCAAATTTGCAACCTATTTTGGGTATTTAGATACCCTGATAAAACCTACAGTAATTTTTTTTTTGAACTTCTTCTTTTATTTGAAGAGCTACGTCGGGTTTCATTCGACGTAACTTATGATTTACAGGTTTCATTCCTGGAATTAGTGGTATTGTGTGTTGAGTTATTTCTCTATTTATTCCAGGCATATCTTCATATGACCAAGCAAATACATCGATAAATTCTTTTAGTAGATTAATTAAACCTGTTATTTCTTCTTTAGTAAGAGTTAGTCTGATTTTAACTTCTCTTTTGATGTTTAGATCCTTTGAGATATCCATCGTTTATGTGTCTTATATTAATGGTATTTTATTCTCAAGTGTTTCCACTGCTTTAATTATTTCTTTGTCACTTTCATTGTTAGTTAAGCGATACTCGTCATCTTGGGTTAAGAATTGACATGAGGAGTAAGCAAAAGAAGACATAGTATTGAATTCGGAAACCATTACATCAAATAGAAAAGGTCCGTTGGGACTTGAATACTAATTATCCTGGGATTAGACGCTAAAGTAAAAGAGTTAGGGAGAGGTAATATAGCTAAAGGTTTTGAAGACTCGATAGAGGAAGACTCAGATTCATACTCTGATTCAGATGGCTCTTCAAACATATTGTTATAGAAATCTTACTTCCGCTTGGTGTAGTTACCTTCATAGTCTTTCGCCATCCCTGGACTAGTCCCTTTGCTAGAGTGATGAGTTTTGAGGGGTCAAAAGCTCTCACTTTGTAGTGTTGTCTGAATGAGCACGGAGTTGTCTTCAACATATTTTGGCTCATTTTTCTCGTGCACAAAAAAAAAATGTCATGACATTAAAGTCAAAGCATGGAGGTGCTTTCTCCTTTTAGATAGGAATTGGGATGTCATCTAAGAAGTGGCAATCCAAGAAGATTTTGAACCTAGGTTGTCTTATTCCATCTTTGACAAAGGGCTCGGGAAATTCATAGCATGGATAGTCCTCACCTTCTCTTATGAATTGTCCATTTAGGGTGAGTGGATATTGATCCATTGGGATTGCTTCCTTATGGGTACGAGCATTTCTCAATGCATTACCTTTTCTCGAGCTTGCTTATAGTCTTTCGGAGTCTGTTCAAAACCAAGTCCAAAAGTACCTAATTTAGGAAGGCCATGCAATTTTGTTTGCATTGCTACTCCTTTCTTCTTTCCTAGAGTCATTCCAATAAAGTGTCCTTGTTTTCGAAGTATACCATTATCATATTTGAATGGAGGTCGTGGCAAAGAGAGGTCCTTTCATCTTCCTCGATTAAGGAGACTTCTTCTGCGTTAAAGCCCCATAAGTCTTCATCGTTGTCATCGTGCTCCATGTTTATGAGAGGTTTATCAATTACCTTGATTCTCAATTGGGAGGCATCAATTGTAATAGGAATTCCTCCAACTATAGCCTTCACAAGTTGATGAAGGGACGGCCTTAAGATCATGAAGCCAAGGGCGTCCCAACAATAAGTAGAAAAAAGCCTTGATATCAACCTCTTGGAACGTTGTAGCATGTTTATAACTCTTACGGTTACATTCATAGTAATAGTCCCAAGAGCTTGGCGACGAGTATTGTCATAAGCTCTTATTCCTTGTGTTGATGGAGACAAGTCTTCATCCCTTATCCCCAACATCCTCGTAGTTTGTAGTGGACAAACATTAATTGCTGACCCACACTAGTGGAAAAATAGTTATTCGTAACGGGCAAAAAAGGCCTATCTGTAACGGGCAACAGGCGTTACGTATGCCACCGTTACGGATAGCCAGTGTTATTTGTAACGGGCAGTGTCCGTTACGAATAACCCGTTATTCATAATGGGCATTTCAAGTGCTCGTTACAAATAACCTGTTATTCGTAATGGGCATTTCAATTGTCCGTTACAAATAATGGCTTATGGCATTTAACTACCTGTTACAAATACATTTAGCCTCTATTAAAAAAACTCCCACATAATTTGCTGGGCTGTTGGCAGCTTATCATTCAACGTAAATTTTCATTTATTCCAAAATTTTTAATTAGTACAGTTGGCCACAAAACTAATAACAAAAAACCCAAGAAACAACAATTTTTTATTTTTTTTTTCCGTAGAACACTAGTAAAATTTACAAATTTGGTGCTACTCAAGTAGAAAAATATAAAGTAGTATTGACAGTAAGTGCAAAGTAGTCTTGCTGAGTTGAACTCTAAAGGGGATCCTCCACACAAGTGAATATAAACAGATCTTGGAACACAAAGAACGCTCCATCCACAACATGCGATAGGAAACTTGTTGAGTTGAACTCTAAAGGGGATCCTCCATACAATGTAGCAAGACCTGGCATACGAGGAACTAAATTCTAAGAACTCCTTGAAAGTCGTATCATCCATACTCATGACTTAACATGTCTAGTAAGTACCTTTGACTACAGCGAAAGCTCCAGCTGCTCCGGTTTTAAGATGAGTATCATCAATATCTCTTCTCACTGCATACCGGAAAGTGATACCAAACAATGCACAACTAGAAAAAGTGACTCCTAATTGAAGCAACAACTTAGGACTGTCTGTCACCCTTGAGAGATAAATTGGGACAGAGATAAATCCCATGACCTTGCTTAGTATATTATCTGAGATAAATATAATGAATGTTTCCCAGCCTGTTTAAGACAACATCGTAGACAAATAAGATAGGAGGAATATAACCTCACCCCTTAACACTGAGAGAGGCCTCATACCCCTCAAAATCCATCCCAAAAAAAAACTACCCTGAAAGCTCAATACAGAAAACATTTCCCGGAAAACGAAGAGTTACATAGAAAAAAAAATACACAAAGGATCAGCGATAAGCAAAAACTCCATTTCCGTGTATTAGTAAAATGATCAAGCCGAGACATGATAAATTTAAAAAATCCAGTGATCACAAGTAACTTATCAATTAAAATAGTCAAATGCAATATAGCAAGGGAAAGAAAAGCAAACTCTTTATTTTAATAGCAAAGAACTGACAAAATGAAGAATTGCACATAAGATAATGATTGAATAATGCTGGTCAACAAAAACGCATCCACATTAAAGGTCTAAACCTTTAATTTACAGCCAATTACTCACAATGGGGTTTCTTAATTTCCTATTACCAAGATAAAGTTAGATAGTGTCAATCATCAAACAGTTGCACCACATTAATTAATTATAAGCAACAAGACACAAAGATATAAATTACAAGTTTTCATATGTTCTCCATACCATTTACTGCAGTCGGCACTGTATAGTATACCACAATCAGCTCAGGATATTCATCATAGACAGAGGCAAGGATATCTTCTCTTTTAGAAGGACCGTGTACCTGAATTTCTTTATCTCCCACTTAGACAAGTTGCCCACTCTCCTCCTGTGCACCGAATGATACAAGAACAATATGAAGTCCAGCATTAGCTGCTTCTTCGATAACTGCCTTTCCCATTTTGCCCATGCATCTATTGACCTATATTAAAGAATCACATAGAACAAGGTTTCTAAGTAAAAGCCAGCCTAACAAGAGCACATGATGTTCTTACAACCAGAATCACTTAAAAGTGAAATGCCATATCTAACAACAGCAATAATGACTATATGGTTTGTCAACTTCTGTCAAATTAAAGCATATCTTTGATTTCTTTCAGTAGCTCAAAAACTGTAATCAGTAACTGACCACAAACTGTTATAGTTAATAAGTATATGTTTTCTGGCATCTAACTATTCTAGATAGTAAGACATAATTTGATGTGAATAATTTAAAGCCCATGCCATAATTTATAGTAGACCATTTTCACTCTGCTAGTTAGTCACAGCCTCACAGGTGCATGTAAAAAACACATAAATAGACAGGTATCAAAATTTTTATAACTTTAACAACTTTCTCTAAGATACAAGGATTGCTAAATAAGTATGATGAGAAAATGTATGATTGTATCCTAAGATCAACCGATCAACCAACCAACCAACGTCTTCTAGAAGATTTATACATCAAACACTTAGATCATTTCCAACTAAACTGATAAAGCAAAGGATCAGATCAATGCTAGCCAATTGATTTAGAATTACCAAACAAGATAGAGATCAATCTAGCTGCGGAATCAGTGAACTTAGCTTACACCTAAGATATCAATAAGAAAGCTTCATAGAACAAACAAATAAATGACCTCCAGCAAGGGTGAGAGTTAAATTTCAAAAAGACAAATAAATAAATCGCAAGACACAGTTGAAGATTGTCAGCCAAATTCAGTACAGTGTCTCGTACCTTCCCCCCCCCCCCCACCCCTCTCCTTATGCATCTTGAAAAGCGTTGATAATTCTGTGTATACAGCCAATTTCAATCAGCATTTACTTTCATTCATCATACTCTCATAATTTATTATAGAGTGCACAACTATAAGCAACAAGCACGGGGAAGCAACAGACACATACTAGTGAGTAGTGACAAACACAATAACATTTTTTTAACTTAATCAAATTTTCCATGCAGCCAATAAATTTAACAGCACTGATAAACAGCACTAAGAATGAAAAAGATATAAGCCCATCGATTAAAACTATGCATGTGACCATACAAAGATGATAAACAAAATACACTAAAAATTGAATCAGGGTGTAAATCCCTTTTCTTGGTCAGCCAAAGATAATATATGGAGCAAGTAATAAAAACTAGAACCCAACAAAACACACCAAAAATTGAATCAGGGTGTATTTTGGTATTGTAATTGTATGAATTGTGTACTCTTTATATGCTTTATCAATGTCTTTTCCCAATAACTAACAAAAGAGCATATTAATAATTATTTTCTAAAGTTTAATAAATCCTTCAATAGAGTCTGTAAACATAATTTTCAATATATCCTAGTTACTTATATTTTGAAAATTATCAATCATCACTCATCCCTCTTAGCTAACATATTCTCCGAAACCATGTCCACTGTCCACACACAGATCACCACAGAACCAATAACATAAAGCAAGGTAACAGTCATTTACAATCTTCTCAAATCAACAAGCCGGACAAATTAACAATAGCTACCAGAAAAGTCTAAACCAAGTTTTTCCCTTTTATGTAGTCTAGCTAAATCAATCGAATTTCTGTTAATACAAAATAAGAGTGATAAAATTTATACCTCAACTAAAGCTTTTCCTTGATCAGAAACTTCAACAAACCAATTCTGGTAAGTATGCTTCCAATCCATACTTAAATTAGCAGTTGCTTTTGAAGCTTTGATTCTAATTTCTGGTAGATTGGTTTTATTTTTTATTCAATCAAACCAAAATTAATACTCACAAGAGTCACATGTTTTCTACAATGCACTGAAAAGAATGTTCATTTACACTCGAACGGGCTAAATTTATACATCCTACTACAATCATCTTCATCCCAATCACAAACTAATCAAACCAATCACCGCAAATTTGAACACAATAAAAGATAAAGTTCAATACCTTATCAAATCTATCAGCATTCACACACTTTGATAGCAGGCAAAGGGGAAATATCAACCACACATAATTTTTCACAAAAAAAATAAACCCTAAATCAATCAAATTAAAACGCAATACATCAACATACAAAAATTGAAAACCATTAAAATGATAAGGAGAATGAAATTACCATGAGTGCGAAGAACATCTAGGGCAAAAACCCAAGGATTACGGGAAAATTCTTCCCTAGAATCTTCTTGAACCCTAGGAATGTACTCCAGAGTGAAAATCTCAGGGACTGATTTCGATAAGTAGCGGAATCAAATCAATTGGTTCGGTGCATAACAGCTTGGATGGCGGCGGCAGGACCAGGATTGAGCTTCGGTGCTCCGAGAAGACTGACTATTTAACCTAAACCCATTAAAATCAGGTTCCAAAAATCAAAATAAATTCTTTTTTCTCAAGATTATCAACGTCAAATGCACATAAGAAATTCTAGCAGCAAAATTAATTGTTATAATCGTTAATAAATAAATTGAGCAATATAACAAAAAGTTCAATAATTCACCTTAAAATATCCCGAATTTGACTAATGACCTGAAAAATTGATATTCAATGGTTAATAAATGAAAAAAAAAAAACAGAACTTACCTCTAATTTTGTTTCAATAAGGAGTTAAGCTCATAAGCTTCTACAGTGGAGCTTTAACGGAGGTGAATTACTCAAGCTTCAGCATCATCGCTTTGAATTGGATTTCAGAGATTAGCCATAGACAAATACCAAAAATATCATACTCAAAACGTCAATCTTGGAATAATTGGTCCGTATTTTTGAACCATTACCTTATATGTGTTTCAACGTATAAAACCTAATTTCTAATTTAAATCTCAATTTCTAAATTGAAATGCTAATTTAATTATTATGATGGCTATTTGATTTAAGGGTAATCTCAAACTTTTGAAACCTTATTATAATGTTTTACTAAAATGATTGAAAGTTATTACTCCCTCCGTTTCATAATGTTAGTCTCATATACTATTTTGGGCGTTTCAAAAAGATTTACCCATATTGAATATATTTTATTTAAACTTGATTTTTTTTTTAATTAATTCATTATGGATTGATAAAATGACTCTAAGTAAGGAAATTTTTACCTTAAATTATGCAATTATCACTTGTGCTTTCCTAATAAAAAATCAAAAAAGTTAAATAAGGTAAACTAATTATGAAATCTGTTGTACTTTAATGTTAGATATCAAATATATTTGTTTTCTTATTTTATGTGAATGATTCTATATGGGACTAACATTATGAAACGGAGGGAGTATTTAAAAGGTTTATGCATGAGTTTTAACCATTTAAACTGTATTTGACTTGTCTGAATTGATATTAGCCTTAAAGAGTGATTCCTTAAGCTTAAGCATTAATTCACTAAGTATTACTAAATTATATATAAATTTTGATATTTAACATATTGCGATTGATACGGGTCATCATGGGTGATTCCTTGACTAAAGTACCAATCTAATAGGTATAAAAATGATTTTTGGAGTTTTAAAAACGTTTTACGTGCTATCGTATTAATATCGATTAATAAAGTTGTATTGGGTGATTCCGTCAACTCGTTTATCAATTGGTATTGTTTATAATGTGTTCCTTAATTCTTTTATTTATAAAACTCATTACAATGTCCTTTTTTTTATTAGGTCATTATAAATGAATAATATTATTAGTTTCGCTTTGCGTCTTTTATATCGCTTTTCAGTACATATGAACTTTATATATAATTCCGTATTGTAATTTAAATTATTATTTTCATTATTATTATTGATATTATTATTGAGATATCAATAATACAATCTATATTATCGTTGTTGAACGCGTTTTAAAATGTCTCCCGTTATATTCCTTTCCTAGTCTAGTTTTGGGCCAACAAGCATTTATCTATGGGTCGGGTTTTTCGTCAAAGCTTTCATGACTAATTATATTAAGATAGACTAGTTTATTAGATTTCTTAAACCCATACTTAAGCTAAAGTAATTATTTAATCAAGCCCAAAAGAAAAGCCTTGAACCTAGGTATTATTGAAAATTTTTAGCTACAACCCCCTGTACGTAAAGCTCCCTACTCCCCCAATGTACTACGTCGTTTTTCTTTCTTTCTTTTTTTCTTCTTCTTCTTCTTATTAAGTTCCTTTCTAATCCTTCAATCCATGTATATATATGATTTATACTCTAATTTTCTCTTTTTTTTTTTTTTTTTTTTTTTTTTTTGCATTTTCTCTATCTTGTTCTACATTGTTTCTCTCTCATTCAAGGATGAATCATTGATTAGAGTTGCTGATCGTGATTGATTATGAAGTTCTACATTCTTCAATTGTCGATTTTGAACGTGATAGTGAAGTTATTTTTCCTTGTGTTGTCTGATTGCGTGATTCGTTTGTCGATCAATGTGAGTTGTTTTGATCGATTTTGTCTCTATTTTAGTTCGGTTTGTGTTTGCTGTTTTAATTCAAGTTAATTTAAGTACAATTTTGATTAAATTTGTCTCTGATTTCGATCTATGTGAGTTAGTTAGCTGTGTTTTGTTTATTGATTGCTGATTTTGAGATTTTTTTTACGTTAATTTGTATTACAATTTTTGTATTTATTCGATCTCATATATTGATTGTTATTGTACTAATCTATAATTATTTTGTAGTTTTTATTTCTTAATTGTTAATAAGTAGGTGTTTTATGTGGATGATTATATTTTATTGCTTTGAACAACAATTATGATGTTAATATGTTCTATAAATTTTGTAGATACGTTTTTGTGTTTTTATGCAGTTTTTATTATTTTGATCAATTTGATAATGCTAAATGATCATGTTCATTTATGCTAATGTACATGTTGTGGTATTATTATTTACATGAAATATTTTGATATCAGTAATTTATTTTTATTGTAATTACTATAATTTGCTGTTTTTTATTTTCATAAATGCTAAATGATCTTTAAGATTTTTATTGTTTATTGTTTTGTATTTGTACATATATGTTACTAATTATGTTCATTAGTGTGCAGTGGGTAATAATGATGAAATTCTTCGTAACGAATTAAAGTAACTAAATATGTGTTGTTTGGTAAGGAAGAAGAAGTTTATGAAAGGTGCAATGATCATTTTGAATCATATTAATCAACATCCTCCAACGGCTCCAAAAAAAGGCCAAGTTTCTTCAAGTGATTCAAGAAATGTTTGTGCCAAGTTCCTTCAAGTGATTTAAGAAAATATCAAGTTCCTTTAAGTGTGCTTTCAAGTTCCGGCCTCCAAATGTTTCAAGAGATGTTCAATTCAAAGTGTTTAATTAATGTGGTAGTTTACATATTTCGTCTAAGTATGATAGGTTGTTAGCTTTGTTTTATACTAAGGTAGCGAATAGGTTGGCAAACAATAATAATTAAGAATTTGGATGGAAACAATATACTATATTGTTAGAGCTTAAACTTTTTCTAATAACTGATATGTAATCAAACATATTTAGTTTTAACAATGAGCATTTGTCTTTTGGTTATGAACATTTTATTGCATTTTGTTATAGTTATTATGTAATTGAACATAAAATATTCTGGTAATGAACATATGACTTCTTGTTGAAGAACATTTTCATTCCAATAATTATACTAATGAATTAAAAAAAATATGAATATTAATGTACTTGATCATTTAGAAATCCATAAATGAACATATATTTGAAAAGATCAATATTTTTAGTAATTTGTGCTTCCATAAATCTTCTTTGCTCTTCTTCTATTGCCTCTAGCTTCTGTATTTTTTCGAAAATAGCATCAATTGAGCAATGTACTGTATTCTCAGCTTCATGATTTGGTTTATCTGTAATCCAAACAAATTACAGTGTCAATAAAATTATAAGTATGGTTTAGAATTTTCATCTCTAAATTTTAGTTTATGTTTCGATCACCTACCCTATATGAAACATCGTATCACTACAATATAAACCGTGTTTGCAGGGGCGGATCATAATAGGGGCTTAAGAGGGTTTGGCCCCAGATATTTTGATTAAGTAAAAGCCCAGTAAAAAAATTAAGTGTTTGCTTTATTTGCCTAGCACTCTAGCAATAGCCGCCTATTAAAGAAAGCTAATCAAATACAGTTTATTCCTATTTCCTAATCTACAATAGTCCAATTCCCTAGAAATTACTGACAATCCAAAGTCCCAAACCCTTTCCTGCTTTTATGACGTTTTAATTCAATATTTATCAACACAATTTAATTCCAACTTCCAATTTATATATTTGGTATTCATTAATTTGAAGTTTGTACGATCTACAATTGTACTTCGACAATTTTTTTAAAAAATTGTTTTTTAAAAAAAATTGTTTTTCAATTTTTTGAATTTATTTTTAATTATAAATGTCTATGTTATTCTGATCAGTTAAAACCTAAAAAAACAAATTTATAATTTTAGGCGACAAGACGTTATGAAAGTTTCAAAGACAATAAATTATTTAATTAAAAATATAGAGTACTTTTTTGCCTTCGGTATGTCGTTCTTTACTTATACTAATATCTATTTATTGATAAGTTGTTTTTAACTTTTGATTTATACTTATATTAGAAATTATCAGCCCCCAAAAGAAAAAGTTTCAAGATCCGCCACTGCGTGTTTGTATATATATGTATGCATAAAAATTATATTGATATGACATATTTAATAAATGTTCAATTGGCATAACAATAATGTACATTATTTTTTATATAAATGATCATTGTATCCAAATAAAATGAGCATATATAAATTTTTATATAGAATTTAGAATATAAATGTTCACAAATCGATATAAAAATGAACATTATTTTTATATTATGTTACATAAACTTAAAGAATCTATATCAAAGTGTTATTAAAATAAATATTTTTGTATACTTCAAGGAACAACCATAAACACACACACACATATATCAAAAGAATTTTAAGAATAACGTCATGTCAAAATGAACATATAGTCTATTATAAATGATCATTATACCTTGCAATTGCATACATATATTTTTCAACGGGACCGACCACTTGATGTTATTATATACTTTAAAAGTTTAGGATCAACTATATGAGATTTAGCTTGGCGCTATTTTTGTATTTTATCCACTATTGATTGAATAAAAATATCATCGTCATCTCTATTCATACACAATTCTTTTAAAAGAAAATAAAATCAATTAGCAATTACAAACTCCATAATGTAAGTGACTAATTAAATAAACACTTTCAAATCATGTAGATTACACACTTACATGTATCCCGAATCGTCTTCCTTACGCTCGATCTGGAAGATCATTTATGCATACTGAAATGAACCAATACAAACATGTATTTAAAAATGAACATTTACTTTATATATAAATGAACATTTTGAATTTCATATATGATCAAATTATTTCAAAGGAATGAAACTTTATAATTTAGGCCGCATATAAACAAAACTACATACTAAAATGAATATTTTTTAATTTCATAAATGAACATTATCTTTCAATTATGTTACATGAACCTAAAGAATCTATATCAAAGTGTTGGTGAAATGAACATTTTTGTATACTAAAATGAACAATCATAGACATGTATATATGTGTCAAAAGAATTTCAAAAAAAAATCATGTCAAAATGAACATATAATATATGATTATAAATTATTATTATACCTTGCAATTGCAAACATGTCTTTTTCAACAAGGACACTTGTTATTATATCTTTTAAGAGTTGAGGATCAATTGTATTGTATTCACTCTTGATTGAATAGGAATATCATCGTCATCATTGTTTATACACATTCTTTTTTTTTAAAAAAAAATCAATTAAGAATTATATAGCTCCATAATGTAAGTGACATTATGTGATT